CTCACAGAAGGCAGGAGAGAAGTTTATGTATCAGATTACTGGTTTATTACAAAGGATATATTAAAAGATACAAATGAACAGTCACGTAAAGAGATACATGGAGTGATGTTTGGCAGGATCCCCAGCACAGGAGCCCCTGTTCCTGTGAAATTTGGGGTTGTGCCATTCTCCTGGCACATGAAGGCTTTCTTGTTCATCAGCTTGAAAGCTCGCCAAACTCTGTACTTTTTATGGTGACACTGTTATGCAGGCAAAATTATTAACTCAATCTTCTGCTCCTCTCTCTTCTCCTCCCTAGAGGCTGGGGGTGGGGCTGAAAGTTCGAGTTTCTAATCATGAAGATGGGGTGGGGGAGATGAAATATGCATATTTCTTATTATGTCTAGAAGCCTTCTCTTTTCAGGTGGATTGGTTCATTCCTACTTCAGCAGGTCCAAAAGTGTAAGGCTTGGTTTTGGTTGACAAACTACAGGACATTCCTTTTCCCTGGGACCCTGACTGTGCTTATTAGCTCAGGAGGTGATGGCCCTGGCTGGGTATCGGGAATGTGAACACACCTAGGATCCAGGCCAGGGGTCACTGCAGTGGGGACATGAACCAGCCAGGATATCACTGCAGAGGAAATGAGCTCTGTGACATTGTGCACCGCCAGCTTTGGACTGTCCAACTGGCCTCCTTGGGTCAACTGATACCAGTGGTCAGAAGGATGGTGTGCTTGGATTGGCCAGCATGGGTCACCATATCCCCCGTGGAGCCAGGAGAAGGATGGGATACTATTACTGACAGCTTTTCTGGAATGTGAGTTCAGAGAAAAAGGGGTGAGTGACCCTCTCACACAAATTCAAAAGGAGCATGTTACCAAAACAGAAGAGGAGCCACCATTTCTAGGTGAAGTCCTATTCTTTCTATGCTCTCTGATTGTTTGAATTAGTCTAGTGTTTTGCAAGATTCTTTCTTCCATTTATGTATGAAATGCATGTATGTATCAAGGATTTAACTCAGAGCCTTTGCACCAAGCTACATGTCCAGCTCATTTAAAAAATTTAATTTTTTCCCCCCCTTTTGAAACAGGTTCTCACTAAGTCACTGAATTGCTCAGGCTGGCCTCAAATTTGCAACCTCTCCGCATCTTTGAGAGTGCTGGGATTACAGATATGTCTCAGCTACTTTCCTCATTGCTGAGACAAAGCACCCAATACCCAAAGTTAAAGGACAAAAGATTTATTTAGTTCCCAGTTTTTAGAGGTTTCAGTCCCTACCTGGCTGCTTCCAAGGCAGAGTGGCACATGACAGAGGCAACTGTTTTTGGTGGCAGAAGACAGCAAAAGCAAAAAGGGCAAAGGGGAAGACAAGCCTCTTTCTACCCCTTTTGTCTTATCCAGACTGCTGGAATATGGGCAGTGCCAATCCAATCATTAAATAAATACAGCAATTACCCAGCCTTAATTCCAGCACCCTTAATCTCAGCATTGCACAGTCTAGACATGCAATCTCCAAAAAAAAAATCCTATCCCTGACTAAGACTTTGGGGGGGACATCTAGACACAAAGCCTAACAAGACACACTCTCAACTAAGATTTTCATTTCTTTCTTTTTTAAAAATGTTATTTAATCTGGCAAGGTGCCAGCTCTTCTTGTCTCCCTCTGAAGGTCTGTGTCAGGGGTGTGACCTGGGAAGACAGCAGCTCCCAGCTAAGTGTGGTGGCTGCAGGGTGGGCGCAGACGATGTGGAACCTCTGGTCTCCTTTGTGAAGCCTCGTGCAGTCTTTCTCTGTGCTACACTACACATGAATCACCAAATTCCAGATGAGCCCCTTGGGATCCTCAGTGTGATGAGCAGGTTTTAGGGGGCTTTTCTTTCTTTTTTGGAGGTGGGAGGGGAAGGAGCAAGGGGTTGATCTACTCTTCATTTGTATTTTGGTCCCAAAATGTAAATACAATTTTTTATGTTACTTTTTTGTGGTAACTACCAAGATGAATATTTTAATCAGATAAGTTATACAAAAACAAGAATCCCATGTCTAAATTTAAAAAAAATTATTTAGGACAGAGTCTACAGGGTAGATCAGACTCTACGTAGATCAAACTCGTAGTGATTCTCCTGTTTTCAGTCTTCCAACTGCTGGGAATACAGGCATGTACCACCACATCTAGTCTCAATCGCCATCTCAGTGCACCCCAGGGACAGGGCCAGTATGAACCCAGGATGGAATGCCAGCCACTGCGCTCTGCCTAAGCAGGCGCTTTAGTCCACTGAGCTATCAGGTTGGCCCAAGGTTTTCATTTCTGATAACCAGTGGAAGGCTGACAAAAAGATGATATATTTTTCATTGTTCTATATGTAAGTGATTAACATTATTTTAGTGTATCCTACTTGGAACACTGCTTTATTGAACTGCTAGTGGAAAGGCACCCTAACTTTTCTGTAAAAGTATACTTGTTTCAGAAAACAATATGGTGGACTAATGCAGAAAGGAAACTAAATTCTTTTGTGCTACTCAAAAGGAGAATGTCAGTGGAAAAGGTAACTGAAGAATAGCATCATTCCCACTATACACAGAGACGTCTTTTTCTCTAGGCAGTCCACTAAGTCACTCTTTTATTAATTCATTAAAAACTCTAGGCTAGGAAGAGGTAGATACAGAAGTATGATTCTCTCTGTTTCTCTTTCCATACATTTCAGAAACTAGGGAACTGAGGCCAATGTGGCATCCAAGGGGTATTCTTAGTTGCTGTACATGTGGTAAGAAGCTGATAGATTTTTCTGAGTGGAGCTCAAGAGAGAAGAGCCATCTCAGATGTCCAAGTTGTGAGTGAAATGCTGGTTCTCTTGAATAACCTCCCCAGTCTTGACAGTGCTGAGTAGGTTCAGGCACACCCTCCGGTCACTTCTATTTGTCCAGTAGGTTCAGGGACACAAGACTCAGCTACACTGTAAAGGAGCTAATTTCAGTTTTGCTTCATCCTCCCAGTGCCCAGGTCCCTCTGATTTGCTCCAGGAAGGGAGAAGAGAATGTGGTCAGAGACCTTTCCATGTTAGGGTAGTCAACAGCCTAAGAATTTTAACCCTATAAACCTTACTGTAAAGATAAAAAGAGTGTCCCCTCCTTCAGACAGAATTTGAAAAAGAGAGGGATATCTAGATAAAAATGTTTTCAGAGCAGAGACCGTCTCAAGCTTCCCGCAGCTACCAAGCTAATCTCCCCCCCCAAAAAAAAATTACTAAGGAAATCTTATCATTTTAGGGCATGTGGACTCTAAGGGAAGTAATAATTCCTATTTCTCACTCCAACATGTTCTCTGTTTCCAGAGGAAAACTAGCGAAGGACCAGTGCCGTTCTGCTGGAAAGAGGTTGGCCCAATGTGGGGAGTGCTCAGGGCACGGGCCTGGCCGCTGCCTTCAGGCAGTGGGGGCCTCATGCGACAGGATGTCTCTCTCCCCTACTACAGTGCTGGTCTTCCCTCTCCACAGGATACCAGAGCCCTGGAATTCAGTCTCACCAGAAAGATTCTTCCAATCCTTGAGCCCAGTGTTTTCACGTCTGATCAAGGCTTCAACAACACTCGCTACATTCTTTGCTATCAGCTGCCCAATCCATTACCACTACTGGTAGCCTCCCAGTCTAGAGTTTCCTCACTGTTGAACACTTTTGGTCAGTAGCGATGCCCCACCCCCACCCACTGCCTTGTTTTCTTCTTCCTTCTGCAGGCACAAAGGCTAATGCAGTAAAGTAAAAAGACAACAAACTGCCACAGGCCCACCATCTATATTCAATTATTAACACATTTTTTTTGCCACGTTGGCTTAATCTACCTTCTTTCTTTTGTTTTTCACTTTGCTGAGATATTTTAAATCATCCCAGACAGATTATTTCACCTTTGGCTCTCTCAAAATACTGTCTTAAAAAAATAACCACAATGGCATTATCCCACCCAACAAAATTAACAACAATATTTTGGTATCATTGACTACCCAGTCTGTAATTAAGTTTCCCAAAGTGTCTTTCTATAGTTAGTTTATTTGAATCAGTAGCCAAAGTCCCCACATCATATTTGGCTAGCATTTAAGTTTAAAATTAATTTTCCCGTTCCTGAGTAGTTTTGTTTTGAATCAATTTTTTTTAAAAAAACAACATCAATAGCACCCTGTGGCAATAATTGATTAGAACGTTTAGGGGATTGTTGTTGATGACTGTTCTTCATCGAAATGAGAGGCAGTGTGGCAGTTGCCATTGTTTGTGTGTAGCTGATTTGGAGGCCATGTGGAGATAGTGACATCTGAGGCGACAAATAAATAGTCTTGGACTCATGTGCAGACCAGAGATAAAACTAATAATTACAATGAGCATGTATTTGATGTTCTGTGTGTACCAGGCATTGTTCTTAGGCTTTACATATAATTATCTCATTTTTAAAAGATAACTTCATTGGGAGATTTTCAGGTGCTAGAGAAATAGGAGGAGAGCGCCGCCTTTTTTGGTTGGGGGGCATTATCTAAGTAGGTCACAGAGCTCGTGAGTGTGTATGTGAGGCACCAGCTGAATTTTCTCTTCTACTGCCAGATATGAATAATGTAAAGGGAATGTTTTTGCCATTATAGGTCTCAGGAGACAAAAAGGGTACTAGTGACCCGTTAGTCCTTTGTCCTGAACAAATCTATGCCTTTCTCTCCCCCATTTTGTCCTGTGTCTTAAGTTGTGTGCAGAGTCCCCAAATGTCACATCCCTGGCAGCAGCCTGTGATTCATCGCTGGTGGTGGGGGCGGGAGGCTGCCTGGAGTTACGGAGCCTGGCAAGGCTTTCTCAGTGCTCCTGTGAGTAAGTGACATTATTATTCATCTGCTGTAACAAATTTGGTTTCTGATCCCTGAAATGGGATCGAAGGGCATATTGCAAAGCTTGGAGGGCACTGTGTTGTTAAATACTGTTTTCTACATGCCAGGTGCTCCCAGTTCTGACCTTGAAAACGGTTGCTGCTCATACACTCTGTGCAGCGGCACCATGGACGATGGGCCTGAATACAGAGAAACCTCTGAGAATAAAGGTCTCTCAGGGGACCGTGACTACTGGGAGACTGTGAAGATAAAGTCGTGGGCAGGCAAGACTGATGCTGAGAAACACAAGAACTGGACTCTAGACTCTAGTCTGTAAAATTAAGTAGATTTGAGGCAGTCCAAGGTCTGGTGCCTGCTTAGATTTGGGTTTTCTTTTCTTTTTTTGTGGTACCAGAGATTGAACTCAGGACCTTGTGCTTGCCAGGCAACACTTATTCCACTGAACTATCTCCCCGGGCCCCTGGCCTAGATTTGGAATCCTAGGTATAGAGTCCCACAGTAAATCTGAGAACCAAGCTGGAAGATGCCAACAAGATTAGGAATAAAACTAAGATAGGTGAGTTAAAATTGTCTCTCATTTGGCCCACTGAAGACCACAGGACTTGCCATCAGAGCAAGATTCCATATACCTTACAAGCACTGTTCTCTGAACCGAGTGCCTTCCCCAAGTGCTGCCCTTGGGGTCAGCAGACCTCCTCTTGCTGTGAATGTCTGTACAGAGCCAACCACTGCAGTGTGCCCAGGTCCATGAATGTGAAGGAAGAGTTGCTTATTACGGCTAGTTCTTGATCTTCTTCAGCACCTGAGAGACAAAGCAAGTTGTCCAGGTAAAACGGTGTGAGCTTCTACCATTTATTGCAGCTCTAGTTACTTCCTCCATTTAAATCTTCAAGGAAAAAAATACATTTTTGGGGCCCGGGAGATGGCTCAGTGGAATAAGCACTTCTCTGGCAAGCGCAAGGGCCTGAGTTCAATCCCCGGTTCCACCAATAAATAAATAAATTAATTAAATAAAATACATTTTTATGATCCATAAATGCCATTATCTTCTTTAGGGACACAAATAGAGATCCACAACTAAAATAAAAAGAAATTGAAATTCAAAGGGCTCACACTCCTAATGATCCCCTTCAGGGGTAGAAATGTTTAATGATAGCTTAGCTTATGGAAACCCCCAGAGACCAGGTTCCAAACAGTCTCAGCTGGGAAACCCAGGTCTTTTTCTTTTGGAAATTCTCAATGATAGGTTTTCAAAGCAGCTGATAAAACAGTTAATTATAGTGAGGTGTTTGGCTCTTCTGTAACATGCACTTTCTCCTGCTCTATGATTGGAGCTTCGTGTCATGTAACCTGAGCAAGGCTAGCTAATGGTGCCCTCCACACCCCCTTGGGCGAGAGCCTCCTTAAATTACAACATAGGTAGACCTTCAGATCAAAATGCAAAATCTAGCCTGAGCGCGTTCCTCTCAAGACCTCACATATCCATCCTCTGCTGCTCCTTCCCCTCCACCTCATTTTGCTCTAGTCACGTGGACCTTGTACAAGGCTGGCACAAACTTGGCACCAACCAAGTAGACCAAGTATGGCTGAACCTTGAGCTCAGAGACTCCACACTGAAGGAACATTAGAATCCCCTGAGGGAGTTGGCTGGGCCAGCCTGAGTTATAAGTGGGGCCTGAACATTTACATTTCTAAAGTATCCCCAGCTGATGTTAGTACTGTGGGTGTGACAGGGAACCACACTTCAGGAGCCACCACTGCTCCATTCTTCTGCTTGAAGCTGTTTCTCCATCTATTTGCATGAATACCTCCTTTAGGCCTTTACGCAGACCTTCTCAGTGTAACCCAGCCTGATCTCCCTGCTTTATGTTGCTGCCTACTCCTCCTCTGGTCATTCTTGACCACCTACCCTGCTCGTATTTGCTTTCCATAGCACTTATCTTCTAACATGCTGTACAATTTTAAAGTTATGTGTGGAATAATAGTCTCATTCCCTAGAAATAAACTCTCTGACCTTTCAGTTCCTTCACTTATGTGTCCTGAAGACCTAGAACAGTGCCTAGCACAATGGAGATGCTCAGTGAATATTTGCTGGATGGATGATGCTCAGTGAATATTTGCTGGATGGATGATTCAATACTTATTGTTCCTATAAATTACAAAGGTAAGACTGGCCAGATAGCTCAGTGGACTAAAGCACCTGCTTAGGCAGAATGCATGGACTGGGGTTCAGTCCCCAGCACCACAAGCCATGCTGGCCCCACCCTTGGTGCACACTGAGATGGTGATTGAGACTGGGTGTGGTGGCACAAGCCTGTAATCCCAGCGCTTGGGAGGCTGAAAACAGGAGGATCACTATGAGTCCAATCTGTCTAGTGAGACACTGTAGGCCCTGTACAAAATACATAATAGATAAATAAATGAATGAATGAATAAAAATTACAAAGGCAAGAATTCTGATTTCTTCACAGGCTTCAAAAGACATTGCTTCTGCCTCAGCCTCTGTTATTCCCTTTGTATGGTGTCTCCTCTCAAGTTTTTTCAGCCAGGTCCTTCTGACTCCTTTCTCAATGGCAGCTCAGCTCTTTCTAACTATCTCTCCATCAGTTGCCTGAGTGTTATTTTGATATCTTTGGCTTTAAAGCCTCTGAGTATAGAGACCATGCCCCGAATAAATGGCCAAATTGTAAGATCTGAAGAAATGCATGTGAAGTGACTGAACATTCCTTTCAAGGTACTATAAAGCATGTGTTGCAAAACAATAGCTCTTATATTCACATTTATAGAAAATCGACAATTTTCAAAGTCCTTTCACATTAAATTAATTCAATCCTCACAAGCATTCCTTGGGCTAGGTAGAAAAGGTATTATCATGTTCATTTGACATTTGGGAAAAGTGAATTCAGGTTAAATTTAGATAATAGTAGCTGCTTCATCAAGATTAAATTAGAAAGTCATGGAAGTTTCTGGCACAAAGCTGGAAAGCAAGATTTGTTCCTTTTCCCTGAGAGATCTTAGAAAAAGTCACTGAGATAAACTAGTACTGTGTTCTTACAATGTGCCAAGCACTTAATAAAATTTAAACTCTAAGGCCAACTCTAAGGCTCAGTGGCACAGTGCCTGCCTGACAAACGTGAGGTCCTGAGTTTGATTCCTGGTACCAACCCCCCTTACACTCCACCCCACCACACACACACACACACACACACACACACACACACACACACAAGCTCTATGTCTGTAAGTCTTAAACTACAATCCTGTGAACTAATGTTTATTCTCACTTCCCAGTGAGGTCACAGAAAGTCCCACAACTACCAAGTGATAGAGCCAGGGATTTGAACTGAGCTCTAAAATCTTGATCTTTTTTTTCCACTTCTATACAACACAATGGCTCTTTGGTGATACATTACCCACTTTTCTGTCACTGTGACAAAACCCCCTTGATACTCAAAAGCTTAAAAAGAGAAATGATTCATTTTGGTCTGTAGTATCAGATTTAATATATCATAGTCCCGTAAATTACAAAAGCACGATCCTAACTTCTTCCCATGCTTTGAGAGACATTTTCCCGCCTCAGTTCCCCTGTGCTTCCTTTACAGAAAACAGCCCCTCATCTCTCAGTCAACCCACAGTCACTTGGCCCTGCTGCCTTGGTCTTGTAGTGAAGCAGTACATATTGGCTGGGAGTGTGTGGCAAAGAAAGCTGCTTTCTTCACGACAGCCAGGAAGCAGAGAGAGAGAGAGAGAGAGAGAGAGAGAGAGAGAGAGAGAGAGAGAGAGCCAGAGCTCAATATATCATCTTCAAGGGCGTGCACCCCAATGCTGTAACATCCCTCTCAGGGGTGCCAGTTGCCAAAAGTTCTGGCTCATCCCAATAGCTCCACGGGCTGGGAGCCACACCTGAGAGGGACACTCAAGATCACACTGTGGCAGGTGGCTTAGAACTGGTGGTTTTTTTTTTTGTTTTTTTTTTTTTTATTCAGAGTCTAGGGCTTTTTTGTGTGTACCGAGCACTCATTGTGATGCCTTCCCTGTGCTAACTGCCTGAAAAAATAGGAACACTAATTCTCCTGGTTCAACTACAGGGCAGTTACTCCTCACAGTTCCTGCCTGGTATTATTTTCTCTGGCGTTTGCATACAGAGAATCATAAACAATTAGAGCTGAAAGGGACATTAAAAGTCATCAGTCTGCTTTGTGTTGCAAATAGACAAAAATGTAAGATCCAAAGAGGATAAATGCCTTGCTTATAAGCAAGACTAGGAACAGGAGGAAACCATGGTGCATTGTGTTCTCTGGGCTGACCTATATCTAGCAGGGTGCTCATGTGAAGACTTGTGAGTCAAGCTGGACGGACATGCAGGTTGTCTTGACATGGAATGCTGACAGATGATGCAGGCAGTAAGCAGCTGAAGTACCCTTTGCTACCCTTCCCTTCCCTCCTCAGTGGCTGCTGCACCTGCTCCAGTCTCCTGTCATAATTACCACACAGTAGTGAGGAGATTGAATCTGCATCACAGGGTGAAATTCATGCCTGGAGAAAAGCTGGATAGAAATAGCCAAAGCACTCATTGGAGCAGGATACAAAGGACAAAACTCAGAGGGACAAGGGACTGCAAAGGAAATCTCAGCCTTGCTGGCTGAGAACCTGAGCAGCTCCTGTCTGCAATAAGAGGCCCACGGTGTACTAACCGTATATGCAGGATGTAAGATTACAGCCACAAGTCCTTGGGTTCCTGAAGACATTTTCCTCTGAGACAGAAATCCTAGGATTTTTTTAAGTGTCCACAGAGGGCCAGGTATGGTTGTACATGCCTAAAATTCCAGCTACTCAGGAAGCTGATGCAAGAGATCACCAGTTTGAGGACAGCCTAATCAACTTCTTGAAACCCTGTCTCAAATAAAAAAAATTAAAAGGGCTGGATGTGTTGCTCAGTAGTAGAGCGTGTACCTAGTGTATGAGGCCCCACTTTCAATCCCATGTATTGGAAGGAAAATGTTCACAGAGGAGTCGTTGCTGCCCCTCTCTAGGAGCGAATAAGGACATGGAATTCACAACCACAGTGCTGAGGAATTTCCACTAAACGGGATACACAGCACTGACCATTCTCTGAGGTTCCATTTGACCTAGTTCTTGTGAGGACATTAAAGTGTAGTTAGTGTGGTATCTCTTAGGGCAAGTGCTGCTGTGGAGCACAGGGCAAATGCTGAATTGGCCAAAAATTGGAGGTGGAGTTTACCTGTCTCCCCAGTCTCTTAAGAAAAAAAAAAAAATCCCAGAAAGGCTTCCAGCAAATTCTTTGAAATGTTCTCAAGTTACTTTAAACTTTAACATTATGATTGTAGGAGCAGTTTTAAAAGCAGTGCCTCCACACCCTATCTCTTTTGCACTTTGTATAAGCTTGACCATGTTGTCAATAAAGTGAGGTCTAAAAGCTACTTCTCTACACTACGCTATATTTCAATATTTCAATGTGAAGCCTTGAAGCTTGTCAGGCACTCCCACCGCACAGAGTAGAAGCTTAATAAGTGCATGTTTAATTTCTCTTAAAAATTGCTTCCTTGTTTGAATGAAAAGTTTATCAAAAGCATACACCTAAGAAAAATCCTTTGAAAAGTTTATCTCTTATGCTCCTAGGCAAAACCCTTTGCTCAGCGTTGAGTGTGACAGTGTACGTCTCATGGCTAATGAATGCATTATAGCAGCAGAGGAAGCAGGAATGATGTATGGCCTTGTTCCTGGGGGTCTGTATTTCCTTGCTATGTCTTCCCTCCCCACGTCAGGATCTCCTGCCACCACAACAACTTCCACATACAACCTTGGCCATCTACCCATGCCCTGGCACAAGCAAGGGCCACCTGAGTACTTTTGCTCTGTGGATTTATCCAAGGGTAGATCCCTGCCAAATAATTACTTTCCAGGAAACATACGACTCTGTTCTGTTTCTGTAATGCAGCCAGAGTGGTGTGCCAAAGAGCTATGTGCAAAGATGGATGTTACTTGTTCGTGCCATTGTATCAGAGAAAAATACCCCGTCGGCTGTTTGCCCATTAATTAAATTGCCTCGTGAGGCAATGGGAGAGCAGGGAAAGGATGTCGGCAAGCTGTTTGTTCCCATGTTTAAATGAATTTATATTAAACTCTGAAAGGGGATTATGATTTTTTTTCTTCCTAGAAATTGAAACCATTTTATGAGTGGAAAGAGGAAAAGAAATGTGATTATGTGATTTCCTTTTTCTATTGGATTATTTTTACTGCTATTTGTCATCTTGATGTTTTCATTTAAAAGATAATCTTCCTTGAGAATAAAGGCTTGGATCTTATTTCAGGATGATTAGAAGACAGAGTTCTGGCCAAAGAATTGGAGACCTGCTGCTTCAGAACCATTAGAAGTAGAAACATGGATTTCACTTTCTCAAGCCAAGGCATCTGTTCTAAAAATATGATTATCAGGCCTGCCCTGTCCACCTTCTTCTGAGAGATAGTACTCAATGAGTGCTCTTTGAAAAACTACGAATGCCATGGGGTGATTTTCAATACGTTAAGAATTCAGCCCTTTGTTTTCTAAGAGACTGCTGAGATTGATAATAAACATTTTTCTCATTAGAAGGACTGGAAGCCAGGTTAACAACCTAAGAATCTTTTGCAGACAAGGCCTGAGGGCAGATGTGGCAGGAAGAGGAGGCAACGCACTGCCCCCAAGTGGTAATTTGGGCCTGATGCCTGGACAGTGGTGGACAGTGATGACCCAACTAGTGTGACCCTTAGTGAAAAAAACAAGAACAATCTAAGAAGAGGTCAGACTCATCTCTCATAAGAGCATTTCGATACCATCGAGAGAAACAAAATAATAACATGTTTTCACACTGTCAAATTGTAATCCAACTCACTGGCTTCCCTTTTTAAGGCCTGCCACTTTATATTCAATTCACTGCTCCGTTGAACACAATGAAGTGTTTAGATTCCATTAAGAAACCTCAAAGAAAACAAACCTCGGGCCTTTAGAATTAGCAGGGAAGTGCTTTAAAAGCTTCGCACAGGCTATCATTTGTGCATTCAGAAAACCATTAAGACTTCCTTCTCTGGAAATATGTGTGATTCTTTAGCTTCAGATTTTAAACATTAATATTTTCTTACAGTGACCTTTATCCTCAAGAACAAATTTCCCATGCCTCAATAGACAATGTAATCCATTTCTGAGATACTGAGATGGAGACCCGATTGATAATAGTCCAGTGACATAGCTGGTGGAAGGAAAAGGGAGTCAGGAGCTGGGAAAGTGGGGTGTATTTGACTTGGAGCACTTAGAGGTGCAGTAGAATGCTTGAGGGACTGCGCGGGCTGTGTGGCTGAGAAAGGTGCTGCAGCTGGGCAGTGGAGACACCAGAGGACCGGACCAAACAGCGGTGGAGACATCAGAGGACCAGACCAAACAGCAGGAAGCATCTTTGCCTCCTAATGCTCTTAAGAAACCAGACTTGGGGATGCAGTGGGCAAGTTGTTGGTTCTGAACCTTAGCTCTATCCCTAGCTGCATGACCTTAGGAGTCGGAGAGTGGTTTCTTCAGTCATCCAGAGACCAAAATTAACAGTAGCTCAAAGTCACTAGTCTTAAAGCTTCTGCTTAGACAGAGCACAGCGACCCAGTTGGATCTGTGCTGAGACAGCACTTGAGACTGGGTGTGGTAGCACACGTCTGTAATCCCAGCACTTGGGAGGCTGGAAACAGAAGAGTCACTACCAGTCCGATCTCCCTTGTGAGACTCTGGAGACCCTGGAGGCCCTGTAGACCCTGTCCTAAATACAGAAAAAAAGTCACCAGTCTATTTGGTAAGACTAATGTCCATTTCTTTACTCATCAAGCCTGATTTTAATAAATTCATAAATTCCTAGCTCTTCTTGGAAAGAAGAAAGTAGTATACTAAGTGCCTTTGTAAGGAGAAGGGCCTTTAGAGCCACACTCACAGGGTTCAAGCGCCAGCCTCACTACCTGCACTAGGTGCCCACCTCCCTTTGCTGCACTAGGAGTGAACCCAGGACCTCATGTGTGGCAAACAAGCCCTCTACTACTAAGCTGTATCTCAGCCTTTGTTCCCCCATATTTTAAAACTTATGAGACAGGTCTTGTTAAGCTGTCCTGGCTAGCTTGGAACTTCTGGGCCTCCTGCCTCAGCTTCCTGAGTAAGCGGGATTACAGGAAGGTGTCACTGCACGCACTTCACTGGTTTCTTATCGTCTCTCTAAGCCACAGTTTCTTCATCTGTACCTGGCACAGAGAAGGCAGGCAATAAATGGTGGGATATTATCTGCATCCTTGATATTTGGGACAGGATGGTGTGACTTCTGATCAAGGTGGGCAAGGGTGGGGGATCAAAACATCACTTGGATAAAACATTGAAAGGTCTTTCACAGACTATTTGACCTTCATATCTCTATTGCTGAGAAATAGAATTACTGTAGAACCTTTTATTCCTAATCACAAAAATGATACCTGAACACACAATAAAATTTTGATATCTTATACTGGCATAGAAATAGCCATTGTTGGGCTTGCTTTGGCAGCGCACACACTAAAAATGGAATGATGCAGAAGATTAACATGGTCCCAGCGCAGGGATGACCTGCAAATTCACAAAGCAGTCTATCAGTTTTTTAAAATAAAAGAATGAAAAAAATAGAAATGGTGGCCATTGTTATTAATTATCAAAATGTATGAATATATTTTGAACAAAACTGAATTCATACTGTGTAAGTTTTATAATCAATGTTTTCTTTAATAATGTGGTATGAACACTTTGAAATTTGTTCTTTAACAACAAATGCTTATCTCTTGACATATTTTGCTGTTGGATTAATAATTTACTCTATAGCCATCACTAAATATTTAGATTATTGAGTTTTGCCTTATGTAAATTATGGTGGCTACGTCTTAATTATAAAAGTCGCAGTTGAGAAAAATAGGAAGATTTTAAGTCTTCTGATTCACGTTGCCAGATGTCCCACTTGAGAAGTAGCAACAGTTTACATTCTGCTAGCAGTATTTTAAAAAAAATCAATTTTTTAAAATACTATAAAAATGTTTACCAATTTGACAAACGAAATTGAGATCACACTCTCTTTGATTTTCATTCATTTTAATCTCGTTCTTTTAGGTTTTGCATCTCCTGAACTTCTAGTGAGTTTTAAATATGTCTATTGGCCACTTGCTTTTATTTTTGGTGACCTTGCTATTCACCTAATTCTTCGCCCATCCTTGTGGAGATGTTCTATTTTTTTTGTTGTTGTTGTTGTTGTTAGAGCTCTTATTCACTGGATATCAATCTTTTGTCTTTCTTATATGTTAAAAAGTTGAAAGAGGCTTGAAGCCTTCATTTCCCAATTCTCATAGTACTGAAATTAAATGAAAGAAGACGAATACATACAGAGTTTATCTTTGTTTGTTCCTTTTCCTCTCTCTCTCTCTCTCTCTCTCTCTCTCTCTCTCTCTCTCTCTCTCTGATATATTGAGAATCAAACTCAGGACCTTATTCCTGCGAGACAGATGCTATGCTGCTGAGCTATATCCCTAGCCCCTACAAGTTTATTTCTCCAATTTTCTACATGGGATATACTTACATTGCAGTTATTGTGTACTTTTCCTCCCAAGTAGGTAGTAAGTTCCTTGGTGGACAGAAATACTTCATTTATCTCCCATGGTAGTCAATAAATACCTGTCAAATAAATAAACGGGTAAAATTATTTTTTCATTTTATTTGACCACAAAAGGTTTAAATTCTCAGTGATCTCAGTGATATTTTCCTATGTGACTGCCACTGTGGTTTTGGTTAACTGATCTAGGAGGGAGACGAATTAGTTTAAGAAATTAGTTTTAGATAAGGCAGGTGGTAGTACTCAGGTCAAATCATAGAAAGCAATCAGTGTCTTCTGCTCTGAAGCTCTCAAAAAACATCAACAATGAACTCCCTTGTCCCCATAAAGCTTTACTCCAGACTTGCCTATGAGGTATAGAAATCCACTGACACACAGCACAGGAATGTGTCACAACTGCCCTCTCAGCCTACAGCTAGGCAAAATCTCATTCAAATAAAAATTTTGTTCTCTACTTTTTTTAAAGAAAAATCAATCAACTTGTCATTGCTGTCACTAATGTTGATAAAGAATCAGGACCTTAGACTTCTGATGGGTACGACATCCCAGCAGCTAGGGATAAGAGAGGGAGACGGACAGAGAAAGTGATCTATCAGCACCTGCTGCCCTGCTGGCTCCACATGGCTATGTGAACTTCATTCCCAAGAACAGAGGAAAAAGGGAATTACTAGGCTTACTTTTTATCTTGGCTTATTAGGAATGCAGCAAGTGGAATCCTACATGTGTACGATGAGGCACTGGTAACTATCACAGGGAGTGGTCAACACAGGTTAATTGAGTTTTTTGTGAGACAAAGGTAACTGCTAAGTAATATTGAAAAGTGATTCCAAAATAATATTTTATTTTAAAAAATCAGGGTCATATTTGTCAGTGTATTAGAACCAACTATTATAATAATTTTGCCTCAAATGGAAATGAATTAGAAATCAAACACTTGGAGAATAAATTCCAGATGTGGGCAGTGACCCATTGGGTATTCAGAACATGCCATGCTGTAGGCAGCTAAGCTGGTCATTGGGAGACTGGAATATTGACATACCCTTGAAGGGCTCTCTCTTTTCCTAAATAACAGATCATGCTTTCTTAGAAAAGTGCTTTGTGACATTCTTATTGATCAGCCTTAAAGAGAGCAGAGTAGTTGGGAAGGGCCGGGGCTAGGCTGAAGCCAGACAACTCCCCAGGTTGATGGAGATTTGTCAAGTGCTCCCTGCATTTGGGAGGGTACTTGTGGATCAGACTACAGTTCCAAAGCCACCTGGAGTGGCTGCATGGTATGGTTCTTCTAGTCTGCTCCTCTCAATCTTTTTCCTCTTTCTCATATCTTCCCCTTGACACCTTTCCTGTCCAACTTGCTACAGTATTTTCAATTTCCTTACTTTGCAAAAAAAAAAAAAAAAAAAGTATTATATTGTCAAATAAATCACTATGTTCAGCTGGCATATCAGAGATATTGCAGAGAATATCTTTTGTCTCTGGACAGAAGACACTTTAGAAAATCTCACCCCATTATCTTCCAGGTAATTTGTCTTTTGAATAGCGAATCCCAAATGGCAAGTACAAAAAGGAATGGTTCATTTGGAAGACATAGTAATAGTGTAACTTTATTTTCTTAGGATATTAATTAGTGATATTCTAATTGCTGAATTTAAATCATGTAAAATGGTGGATATAACAGTTGCTTTTTGAAAAGATTTGCACATATTTTATTTTCCCCAAATGGCGACTTCTACAATTCCTTTAAGTGTTAGAGAAAAGTCTGCAGTTTCCCAGTGCTTTTGCCTACATTTTCTCGTTATGTGCGAAGGCATACTAGGTATGTGCTTTCCCACACTTTCTAAATGAAGATCCCCAGTCAGGGTCGGTGACTTAGTCAAGGTCATCCAGATCCCCACAGCCCAGTTTTGCTCTCTGCTAGCTCTGTGCAACTCTATAGCTCCACGCTGCCTTCTGTTGTTTAAAGCAAAATGGAAAACATCGTGTTACCCTTGGTGTACTTGTGGCACAGTATTTGGCTTAGTTTTGCACCTAGGCACCCTTTGAAATGTGATTCTGAGCTGGGAAAAAGGCTATTTTAATACACCCAGAGAGGCTTAGTTCATTTTTCCTAGCCTGTGCCTGTGACTAAGAGAACACGATGTCTGAAGGAGTTGTTCCTTCAGTACTTTGATGATTTTGATGATGTTCACTTTGCTTTTCTCTTCTAAAATCATGAAAGGAGGGATAACTGACTTTCTAAGTATGTTGTAAATAAGTAAAAACTGTTTAGGAAAGGCAGGTTGGCTAAAACTTATTTTTAAAAAGATGATAAATGAAGGAATGCTACTTTCTCTTAATTCAATAAGAGGAAAGAGTTGTACTAATAGTGTTTGGACAGGATATCATGCCTGCATCTTGTACTATGAATAACCACTACGAAGACAACCATATGCAATGTACTAATTCTTGTAATTGTCCTATTAACCTGTTTTGAAACTGTCTTATTGCTATTTGTTTCTCAATAAAATTAATTTTAAAAAATGAAGAAATGCTTCCCGTAAGTTTTGAGTCGGAGGCCACTTATATTCCTCAATAAAAAGTACTGGGAAAAATTAACACATCTTTCATAAAAAAGACCAGAAAAGTTAGAAAACCTTACTTCTGTCCTGGGAGCAGGACTGCCTCAGGCCGGGTGGGGAGCCTAAGTGGACAAGCTACCACTGTGAATCCATGACAGGAAAGTTGGAAAGACAAGGCAGCCGGCGTCAGGAGCTGCTCTCTACTCCTCAGGAAATGTATCCTAAAACACAGCATACCACAGCAACTGCTGATGTGGGATTACTAAGTGTATTAATGTTACCAAGATCAGTTTCCTCATAGAGACATTTCCTGGCTCCACATAGCTTTAAAGTATTTAAGACGGTGGAAAAGTTTATGATCAATCATGACAAAGGCACAATCATCGCTGATGCTGTGCTTAGTAATTGAGGTAAGATTTGACCAGGTTATTTTTAGGTCTTCCAAAGTACAGAATCCCAAACCGCACAGCATTAAACAAATGGGGTTTCCAGCAAACGAGGGTGAGAATTTTGTCAGAATTCAGGTTCACCTTGGGCTCAGGAATTCTCACCTCCTTGGAATCACTGACATCACAGGCATATTTTCTAAATTGAGAATTTCAGTCTCTTGTTTAATTTTTGAAGGCTTTAAAAAAAGAAAAACTAATAACCTGTTATATGCCTATTATTATGTGGCAGCTGTAGAGTACAAAAAGCCAAGTGGGTGACTCCTGTCCTTTGAACATCACTCACTTGCTGGTCCCTGTACGGCCCCACCCCCGCCCCAGTGGGGCGGGAGAGTCACGGTGTAGAGAGCCTGAGAGAGTTACCCTGTAATAGCGGAGCCTCAACGCAGGCAGAAAGTCTCCCTCTCCCAAGCCAGTGTTTGCTCTTTCCCTGAACTCCTGGAGCCCTCACTGCCTGCTCTACACATTTATAACTTGGCATATCCTCTCTGGCTTGGATAATTACCTTTTACATCCTATCTCTGGGAGTGAATAAAAATACCATCAGTGAAGGCACATCATTTCTTTTCTGTTGTTTTTCAAATTTTCCTGATAGGGCACTGCCTACCAAATAGGTATGCAAAACAATTCTGTTGATAGGTTTATGACTCATAATCTCCCAGTGTGTGGAGACAGGCACTCTGCTGCGTTGGGGCAGCAGAGCTCTCCAGCCTCTGGTTTAAGGTCCCTGTTGGACTGTGGACTCGCGTGCGTGCAGTCTCTCAGAGCTCTCAGGGCAAGGTCAGGGAAGAGAACGTATGTTTACTTTGGGGCTCCATTTCAATGTCTGCTCCCTCTTCTTATCTGTAACTATCATCCCAACCAGTGGCAAGGACATACTTAAGAATTATGAGGATTCACGAGGCCTGAGCATTGTAGCTTAATGGAATGCCAAGCCCAGCTCCAAGAAGGCCAAGGAGATAAGAGGTAGAAAATACAGCTTCTAGGTAAGGAGGGGCCCTCTTT